CTAAAAGCTGATATGAAACTGTGCATATAGGTGTGACTTGTTGACAGTAACATTTTCACTGTATGGCTGATCATTTCTTTGGGAAAGTCTGATGCCATTATTTTGTAAGGGTCTCCAGAGTGAACATTCTCCTACCTTGCACCCAACAATTCAGAAGTCACGTGGGGGGAAAATGCTAGGTGCCTGTAAACTTATGTAATTTTCTTTTTCTGTGTCTAAATACAGTGACATTCCGAGGAACTGGGGTTATGACTTTAGCATATGAAAATTGAAGGAGACACAGTTTGGCCTATAACATAAGCCCAAATTCAGGGGTCCTATGTTCTACCCTCTCTGGAGAGCAAGCTTCACATGCTTTGCCAGAATAAGAGAGGTTCAGTTATGTGGCTATGCTAAATAGGGAAGGACTTCAGGAAAGTTGAGGGTGGGAGGGCATCTAAGCTTCTTAAATGAACTTTCTATCCGGAAAGTGGTTCTAGGTCTGCCTTCCCTCTGATCCAGAGGTATTTGGTCCTGCCAATTTCTGAGCCTTAAAGGGATCTTGTTTTACAAATGGGTTGTTGATTCTTAACATTCTGTACTCCTCTAGTTTAGGATTTAGCTTTATTGACTCTGCTACGTCAGTTATCAATCATCCCTTTGGCTTCTCAGCTCGCAAAGTTTTGTTGCTACTTAAAATTTTCATTCTTCTATCCTTGCAGGTTTATGCCTGAAAAAAAAACAACCAAACACACACGCACAACATCTTTGCTTTTATTTGGGATGTGGGGGAGTTAGAGGGAACTAACTGCATGTATTCAGTTTACCATCTTTAACTATTTAAAATTATAAAAATACTAGAGGCCCAATGCATGAAATTCATGCAAGAGTAGGCCTTCCTTCCCCCAGCTGCCTGCACTGGCTTCTCTCTGGTACCCGGGACCCGGGCTTCCCTCGAAGCCCCGGCTTCGTCCAGAAGGTCGTCTGGTCTAATTAGCATATTATGCTTTTATTATCATAGATGATTGTGGATAATATTTTAATTTTTAGAAAAGTACCAGGTAGCCATATTTTAAGAACTTACTATGTGTTAAAGGCTCTTTTAGGTACTGTGTTATGAAACAAAGGCATCAGAAATTATTTTCTCAGGTAGAGGAAAATTGTACACAAAATATGAGATTGAAGAATACTTTTTGCCCTGCTGGGTGGCTCAGTTGGTTAAAACATTATCTTGATATGCCAAGCTTGTGGGTTTGATCCCCAGTCAGGGCATATACAAGAATCAGCTAATGAATGCATAAATAAGTGGAACAACAAATTGATGTCTCCCTCTCTCTAAAAATTTTTTGAAAGAATACTCTTATAATGAAACAGGCTGGTAAGGGCACATTGTATAGTACAAAATAGAGCATATTCTGAG